TTACGAGGTCCCTGGTTTAGAAAACTCGGGGGTAATATTAGTGACTGGATTAAGCTTTTAAATCCGATTGAATGGTAGTCAATATTTTATTGTATTAACCTTCTCTCTTTTGGAAGAGAAAAACTGTGTTTAGCAGTGGAACATTAAGGATGAAATTGACGATATAATTTTTGTGAATTATTATTTATATATCAGCTGGGCTGTAAATTTTCGTTTGCCATATGAAGTATTTCGACTAAATTCGATTAAAAACGGTTCTTGTGAGCTCATTTTAAAAGATAGACATATACCGTCCTGGACATTTTATTTGATTATTTAAAGGATAATTCTTTTATACATATTTTATCGGTGTCTTGAATAGTTTTCACATCGCATGTATTTAAATTCTTCTAAGATGCACAATTGTCCCCGTTCTTTCCACAGTTTCCTTGGACCTATTGGTCGTAGACTGATTTTTTATAGCCTAAAGCCTTCCTTGATAAATGGTCCAACCAACACAAAATTATTTTTGAATTCTAACTAGTAGTTCCTAAGATTAGCGCATTGTTACAAACCAACTCTTCAGCTTTATAATAGCTGTGCCCGCGACTTCGTCCTCGTGAAATAGTAATTTGGGGATTTTTTTTAAGTATTGATACTGTTTATTAATTTATGTAAGGGTGCATTTAATCTATGGTAAGTGCTTCTTTGCCGCAACACTCTCACCTAACATAACTCATACTCTAACTTCCACTCTCATTCCTACACTCACTCCCACGCCTACGCCCACCCCTACTCCCACTCCCACTCCTATTCCCAAAAAGCCAAAGAAGAAAGTTTCATTTTTCCAGCTTCAAGCTTCAAAACCACGAGTTAATACAAACGTTCACCCCCCTTTTTAACCCCTTACAACCCCCTTATCGCAATAAAAAGTAGCCTTTTTCAGGGTCTAGACCATCTGCGTAACAAATTTCATTCAAATCCGTTCAGTAGTTTTGGCGTGAAAGAGTAACAATATTTATAATATATAATATTAGTAAGGATATAGATTTCAAATAATTTTATACTTTAAACGATAAATATACAATTAGTTAACTACGTAGTTCATACTACGTTTTATATAGCGTAATATAACGTGAGTTTCTAATCTTCTTAACGTATCTGCCAAGTAAATTATCCTTAGCTTCTAAAAAATTATGTAAAAATGTCCTAGTCTACCGTTGGAGCACGTCAAATCGTTAACAATATATTAGACTAATGTATGTATTAAGTATTTCAAGTATTAGTTTGTACAGTAAATACCATCGAAAACGTAAATGAAAAAAGAGGAGCAAAGTTATAAACAAAAATTGTGCTTGCCTTCGCCGTAAAAAGAATGGAGATCTAAATGAGTCCCAAGTTATATGCAATATCCAAGTATACACCGATAATTATAGGAACTGTATTTATTTTCTTTATTGGATATGTAATATAATTGCTGTTATTAAAAAAATGTGTTTTCGTTCATGAAATTTTGACTTCCTTGTGTCCTTATGGATATAATTATACACACGTAGTATCATGTGTTTACGTTAAATAGGTTTAACGTTAGGGAGGGATCAAAATTGGCTCCAAATGTTTCGTGTTAAGATACTCTTAGCTCTGCTTAGCCAGTTCCTTTGCTTCAACTTGGCTTGCCATGCTGCCGCGTGTCAAGGTACACAAGTATAGTTGCAGTCATAAAACTGGAGTTTACAGCGGCGTCTTAATATTTGATGGAATATTGTGCCTCGCATGACACAGTTCGCTTTCTACGTACGTGTTTGTTTTACTGAGATATTAATACATACAGTACACATTCGGAGTAAAAAGTTTAATTTTTAAACTTAATGTCTAGCACGTACGTGCTTCTTTGGGTCTCAATTATAAACGACTTGATGCAACACGCGTTGATACTAACAAACGACTGTTAAATGACCCGACAAAATCATTATTTTTTATACTCAAATATTTCTTTGTCAGGTTAAAAAGCAATTTGTGTGTTAGGCAATTTTTTTTTGGTTATTTGATGGAAGGTGAAAAATACCTCGGTCATATAAAATATACACAGATTGACGGTGATTTCTAACGTGGATGGAATTTCGATATTCTTACCACCAATTGAATATCCAGATTTCTAGACAAAGTTCGACATGTTTCAGAAAAATTATAAATTAATTAGAAGCACGTTGGACCCGGTGGGGATCGAACCAACGACATTAACCATACATTGCTAGCATTAGACGAACGCACCCGAAATAAAAATAATTTATATCAATCTCAATTCGACTTGAAAGTTTAACAAACATCCAACAAACAACAACCACAGACATCAAGCCTTAGCGAATGCTGTAATTATATTATAATTTATTTGGGATATGTAATTTACACACTTGGCAAAAACTCGACAACATTTGTTTGGGCAAGTAAGCAATAGGCGAATAAATACAAACCCGGCTGGCCTTTTACTTTTTTGCCTAAAACAAGGATTTTCTCGTTTGTTCCGCTTCTGTTTTTCAACGTGTATTTTCCGAAGAATATATGAATGCTTTAGTAAATTGCATATTCAAATAAGCCTTTTTATCTCAGTGATTAAATTGTGCACATGAGATCCAGGGTTCTACTTCGGGGAAACTAAAATTTTTCACTTAGAACTATGTTCACCCCATACCCCACGGGGGAAAATTATTACATACATATCCGTTTTTGTAAATGCACCATTGTAAAAGTGATAATATTGTTTTTGTATTAATACATGCCTTGTAATTGTATTGTAGGTAAGTAATATTTTTTTTTATGTTTCTAGACGTACTTACAGTTTGAGTCTACTTCATTAGTTTAACCTAAAAAGAACGGATACATATAAACAGCCAGAAAGTTTTTAATTAAAAAACATTAAAGTATTTATCAAACCAAAATGCGTAATGGTACTTACCTGGGATTTGGTTCCAGATCTAGCGCTTGAGCAATGCAAATGGAAAAACCGTGAAGATTAATCCCGTTTCAGTTTCAGTCTCTCGATTTCCGAATATCCAAAATAGGTCGATAGCGCATCTTGTTCAGATGCTATACGCCTGGGATATTTCACCCTCCTCTATCATAGACATAGGTCTACCGGAAAGTTCTGTCCGTTTTAGAATGAAACAAAGTAATAGATTTTTTCATACTATGGCTAAACTTCATTGAATAATATAATTGCCCTCATTTTTATGACTTCTTGCCAGCATAGTGGCAATTTGTATATCCCATATTTTAAAAATCATCTATACTAATATATAAAGCTGAAGAGTTTTGTTTTTGTTTGTTTGAACTAATCTCAGGAACTCTTTTTGTTTAGACCATTTTTTGAGGAAGGCTATAAGCTATAAAACATCGCGCTGTGACTAATAGAAGCGAAGATACAGCAGGATATGTGAACAAAACGGGGGAAATTTTTAACCTCTGTGGGTTTCAGATGCGTACGCTACGAAAATTGTTTAAGATTAAGACCCAAAAAATATTTATGTGAGAATGATTGAAAAAAGTCCGCGACGCTATATGTCTATCTTTTAAGATTAATTTGCAAGAACGACGGGAAGGGAGGCGGCCGACGTCGTGTGCAACAGCTTAAGTTTATAACGATAAAGGGGGTTTTCCAAAAACGAATGGGGATGCCCAAAATAAATATTCTTAGCGGACGAAGTCGCTGAAACAGCTAGTAAAATATAAATGCATGGGTACGCATCCATACTTCTACTAGACGCTAAATAAAATTCTCGAATCGCTGCATTTCCTCCAGTCCAATATCCATTTCTTAACTGTAAAAGTAACTAAAATTACAATAGCGAATAAAACACCAGCTCACACCGCTCCGCTCTGCGAAATCTAAATTTTATTCCGCAGCAAGCGAATTTAATTCCACTTAGCCACCGCAATTCCCTGCATTTGGATTGAAGATCTGCACTTGTAATTGATTAAAAACCGAACCATTACGGAAAAAATCACTCGCGTTATTTGCCGTGGAAAATTAAAAATTTTAAGTGCTCTGTAAATTAATTTAACTGTGTTTTCTAGATGGAGAGAAACGAGACTGAACGAAAGTAAGTATATTTTGGTTCAAGCGATGGTTTATACGTTTTTAATGGACTAATGAAGGCTTGTATTAAGATATAGCAACGATGAAACTTTAAAGTAAATAAAGATAAAAATCTGGAATTTAAATTGGTGGTAGGAATACAGAAATTCCGACCGGGTCACGAATTACTGCCTACAGATGAAAAAGCCGTGAAGTTTAATTGCTCTGTGGATTTCCGAATACTCAATGCCAAAATATTAGGATGACAAACGTGTTACCAGGGCTCCCTCAAAGCACCGTAGAGGGCTGGTGGTGTGTTTAGGGGTTCTGATCGGCTATACGATTTGCCACACTCCCAACGTCACACTTGCCCGACGTGGGCGTGCATTAGGCATTCAAACCATGAGTTAAAAAAAAAGGTTCACAGCGCAACTTATATGGAGGATATTTCATCTATCATGCTTGTCTGTCTTTTTCTATCATAAAAAATCGAATCTTAAAATGATTGATCTAATTATTATCTCCAATTTTTTCTGTTAACAAAAAAGGTCGGGAGACTTTTGATTTGCAGTTGGGTGATATCCTCAGCCCAAACATTCTATTAAGCTCTGTGTTCACTCGAAATATTTCATGTCGACATGTTTAAAAAAATTATAACATAGTATAAGAACGAGTTGATCCTAGCAATCGACGATAGTGGGTGGTTGGCATTTGCTTATGTAAAAATCTCATATACGCAAATCTTAGATCACCAACGTCCTCAAGATTAATTACTTGACGTAAACACGTCGCTAATCTAAAATCTACGAGCAACCAACCGAAATAAAACGATTATATCTGCCGCTGGAATTGCTATGTAAATTTAATCTCTCTAATTTGTTTAGTCACAAATTCTAGTGTACACAGCAAGCACGCAAGATCCGCGCAATTTTTGTGATTCAATTTTAAAATGGAAGAAGAAAACTCAGTTAAGCCGGCGAAAAAAGTGAGTTCACTGTACAATAGTACAAAGTTTACACGGCGATAATGTTTTGAATTTATAAGTAGCTACGTATATTTTATTTAAAAAATATTATATTTGTAAAGCTTTAGGGATTATTAAGCATTTGAGTAAAGAAGGTTATTCATACTTTTGCAAAGACGACCTTAAAATATCTTTGAAAATATATGCACTATCCTTGCCAAAGAAAGGAATTATTATAATAATGTTGAAAAACCTAACGATTCATATAAAACGCGAATTTATACGCGAATAAGGCGTTTAAACGAAGAAATTTCCACAAAATTGCTTTTCTTTGTAGAAAAGCAAAGGCGAACGCAAAGATAGTCGAAGCCGAAAGGAATCAGACGCTCAGGAGGAAATAAAAAAATTCAAAGAGAATTTACTGCAGTCTGTTGCAGATGGGGGGTAAGTGGTTAAATTCAAATTCAAATAACATTATATTAATACAGAATTATATAATACATTAATTGTTTATAATTATTACATATTTAAATTAATATGGGAATGGAAGAAATCTACTGTTGAATCAATAAAAATATTTTGTGTAGACTGTCATTTTAAAACTAATAAAATTTAAAAAAGCACATGAGATTTGAAAACATTAATATTTTTCACAATTTAAGGAGACTCGGTAGCTCAATTGGTAGAGCAACATCACGGAAAGCTGACGATGCCGGTTCAAGTCCTGCCCGAGTCGAAAATTTTTTCAATTTATTTTCGATTTTTAAAGCACATGAGATTGCCAATAATTGAAGATGAGATAGACCCTGTAATATTAAGTACGTTTTTTAGCTGTTTCTCAAAAAATAAATTCCTGTTCTGTTTACAAATGCGTATTTCCATTTTCAACAATTTTTAAACAGCGTATTACTTATTATGACCATAATAAAAAAATAAAAGCCCCTTAAAATTAAAATAAAGACACTGGCGGGACTTGAATCGGCATCCGAAGGTTATAGTGCTGCTGGTCTAACCTATTGACTTACCGTATACCTACTCTACACTCTGTCTTTTTTTCAATCTAAATAGATTTTTAATTAATATAATGCCATCACGTGCAATAACTTGTGAAGAATATTAAAGTTTTCTAAAACTTTATTTTTAAATAAATACTTATAGTTCCAGTATTGTACTTGGAGAGAACTCTTTTGAACTCTCAGTACCTTACCAAAGACCTCGTTCTGGGTCGAAGGCTCGCGATGCTCTGGAAGTATCCCCCAATATGTTAGCAGAACTGGACGAAAATAAAATCTTCGAATTGAAAGAGGTAAGCAAAGAAAGTATACTAAAATTTATTATACATTTTTAAATTTGGAAGCATGCCTTAACATAGCTTAATTAACGGGTTGTCTGTTTTGTTAGATGAAAAAAAAACAAGCATTTTATAGAATGTGATAATGCACCAAATTCTTATGGCTATCAGAAAATTCATAGACACCAAAACGCGATTAAACTTCACGACTTTTTCCTCTATGAACGGCGGTTTGTGACGCGGACGGAATTTTTATATACCAGTTTCCAAAAAAAAAAATCCAACATGTTAAAAAAAAGTATAAATTGATTAGAAAAATGTTGGATTCGGTAGAGGTCGAACCTACGACTCTTTGGTTAATAACCATACATCGGTACCGTTAGACTAATAAGCGCGTCAAATTGTATACAGCCCTATGCTTTATAAAGCTTTGTCTCCGTATTAAGAATCACGTCCTAAAACTACACAAAGATTAAAGATAGTTATCATAAGTTTTAGTTACAGCGACGAAATTGCAATTACTTTGAAGTAGAAAAGCGACTTGAATACACCGGGGAAAGCAATTCATGGCGACTATATAATCGCTCCGCCAAACAACAGGTCACGTCCTGCTGATAAAATCTTTGAAGTAAACAAAATGTCGTTGGCATTATATTAAGAGTGCTCTAAAGGAAAACTAGTATACGAACGACTAAGCTACAATATTTGCATTAGAAAAAAAATCATCGTCATCTCTGTAGTAGTTTCTACAGCTGGGAATCGCACATACACAGTATAGCAAAAAACCGAGTAAAATTTAACTATGTTAGCACCAATAAGATCACATTTAGTACAACCGTAGAAATTATGTTCTAACTTCGCTTTGATCAGTGAATTGAAACTGTTTGATAAACCAATTATATGTGGAATATTCTATTAGTGTGACACGACAATGCAAATTGACATATCTATCACATGTTGTGAAATACCTAACAACAATATACGGGTCATACTAGTTGGGTGTATTCAATTTTCGTGTGCATAAGTGCATATTATTACAGGAACTTGAATATTTTTTCACATCTCTCGAACGCACTTCTCGCGCAATGTAATTTCATCCTTAATACTCGAGAATTGAGTTTCAAAGTCCCATTATGTGTAGTTAAAGAAATTAATGTATATAGTCAGAGCTTGACGTTTGTTTGAGCTACTTTAATATAGGTTATTTACATTTTAACGTAAATTAACATACTTGTTGGTGGTGACTTAGTAGTTTAATTGTTAGATCAACGGCACATTAAACTTATTGTCGTTGGTTCAAGTAAACTTAATAAAAGTTCAACTTAATAAAAATCTTCGTGGCTCAATGATTTAAGCACGGGAAGTCCTGGGTTCCAGTTGGAGAAAAACATATAGGTAATGCGTCTAACTGGCTACAGAAGTCTTATCAACTATTTACCTTAATTTACACTCTATTCGTGAAACGACCACAGAAATGTGGCCGTCTCATGATTCACACGGGGATAACTTTATTTGACACCAGATACTTCTCTATCTCTTTCTGTTAGATACTTTGACGGAGTCGTTGGTGTAACCGTAGTAATATATATTTTTCTGATCAAATTTATATTATTTGTGAACTTGTTGGACTTTCTTTGGAACCACATGTTTGTTTGTTAATTTCTTAAATAAAAAATGGAAAATTATTATTACGTAAATATGTATAATAAGGTTATTTTACAGGCGTTTCTACTGTTTGATTTGGATGGTGACGGCTGCATAGACCACAACGATCTGCGAGGAACATTTATCAGCCTTGGCGAAAACGTAGACGAACGCGCCGTCAGCCACATGCTATCAGAAGTAATGTATCTCTACTAATATTGTAAAGCTGAAGATTTTGTTTATTTGTTTGAACGCGCTAATCTCCGGAACTACTAATTCGAATTGAAAAATTGTTACTTTGCCAGCTATAGAATTTATTGACGAATGCTTTGGGCTATAACACTTTAACCAATGAGAACGAAGAAATAGTGGGAAATGTGGTAAAAACGGGAAAAGATATTCTTTGGTGTTTCGCCGTTGCGTGCCCTGTGAAAACGGTTTAAGATATCCAAAAATATATAAGAATGAGTTAAATTATCTATAAAAATTGTCCACGAAAGTCTAAGTCTATCTGTTAAGATTAACTTACTTAAACCGTTTCACGGTAAAAAAAAATTGTTCAAAATACTTCATATGGCAGAACAGCGTTTCGATTAAAAATTGAAGAAAAAATTTGCTACTCGACCAGCACTTGAACCGGCATCGTCAGCGTTCCGTGCTGTTGCTCTAACCAATCGAACCACAGAGTCATACTTTAAAACGATTTTTTTTTCAAAAATAGCGTTTAGCCAGGTCAACTATCCAGTTATACATATACATTGTTCTCCATAAACAACCTTTTATCTCCAATTAATCATTGCAAGTCTATAAAATGCATGTAAATAAAACCGCTGTAAAATAAATCTCTACCAACCTACCTTATGCTCGAATTGCGAAATGAACGCATTTAAATTATTTTTACAATTTGTTTGAATTTCAATCGAATTAAACGGAGTATTGTTTGTGTGTTCAGCGAATTTATTGTCTGTTTACACGATATGTGAGCTGTGAGGGTATTAGATAAAGTTTTATGTGCTCGATGAAATTTATTAGTCGAATCAAAACAAACATTCGTTCGTCTAGACACGTGAGTCAAATAATTTTAGACAAACAGAGCCTCAAATTTTTAAATAACGCAGCTGTTTCTTTGGCAACGTGATATACGTGTATAATTAAAATATTAGTGAAAATAATTTAGACTGCTAAAAACGCGACATATAGTTTGTATGAAAAAGGGTAGGGTAGTAAGGAATTTAACTGATATATTTTCACTGTCATGTAATTTAATATTTTAAATTATGTAAGTATTATTTTTCAGCCATTTATTATAAGTAATATGTAGGTATATTTATTGTAAAACATAATTCTAAAAAGCTTCTTAGGTTTTTAAGCTATTTGACCGTCTCAAATAAGACGAGACCCGAACCTACTGAATTTCTGACTCTGCTTAGCAAGCAAAGCGCTTAGACTAGTCTAAGACCACGCTACTTCTTCTGATGAAAAGTCGAGAACAAATTCTTAATTACGACAGCCGAACATTAAAAAAAACCGAGACGTTTTTCAAAATGGCCGCCAAAGCCTCATTAAATTTAGAATTATGTTAGGTTTTCTATTCGCATTATAAAGTAAACCTAATAATAATGTTGACAAAATAAAGATTATGTCCGTGGTTTACGCAACTAGTACACATTAAAATAATAGACTTCAACGGTTTAAAACACAAGATATATTGGTTAAAATTATTTAAAAAGAAAATCATCCGGAACGGCGAGCCTTAGTTAAAAAAATTCCAAATAACTTTAACTAATCGCGTTTAAACCGTTAAACTCTTTTACTTATAATAAAGATAAATCATATTTAACATTTTTTTTTCAGGCATCAAATCCGTTAGATTTCGACGCGTTTGTCAATTTACTAGGATACAGATCAATCGAACTGGATTCCGAGGAAATTCTAGTCGCCGCATTGTCGCGCTGGGACCCTGAAAATACTGGATATATCCCCGAGGAAAGGTTTGAATATTATACTTCTCTTACTTCACAACTGTCCCTACTTGAACTTGTTATTTTCGTTTTGAATTGAAGGGATTCAATTAAAGTTACATGAGTGCGGTGCTTATTCTTAAGTTAGAAATGTCGTTTTACAATCTGCGGGAGACAAAATGTTTTACGTAATGTCTCAAGAATACGAAGAAAAGAACTAACACTGAATATAAAAAGTTGCTATTTATTGCAGAACCCAAACGACAATATATGAACATAGTTTAATTAACTATTAAACTAATTATTAACTAGAATTATTTTTTTCAATATTCTTAGAAGAGACTATTTTGAAGAAATCCAAGCATGTTTTTTAACAATCGTTTTTTAATTTAACAGTCACTATTATCATACCCTCAATAGCTCAATGATTAAACGCGTTCTTTTAAGTGCGATAGGTTAAAATAAAAAATTGTTAAATTAGTTTAAAGTCTTCGTTTCAGGACTATCCGAGATTTAACTTATTATGTCAAATGAAATTAAAATTGTCGACTACAGGAATAGTCGAGATCATTATCAAAATGTCTGATAGTATAGATGTTTTACGAGTCTCGGAAGCAATTTACATAATACTGACGCGAATGTAATGACAAGAGTAATTCAAAGGCATTTGTCGATCTTACCGGCTTTCGGCTGTAAAATGTCGACGTGTAATTTACGAGATTGCTCGGCTCGCATTGTGTTGAAAGTTATTATAATTTCGCTATGAGAAATCTTTCTACGTCATAAATAACTTTTAAATAGAACACTGTAACGGTTTAAAACGCGATATATATCTAACTAATTATTAAACTTATGTGAAAATTATTTTCACTACGCCCCGACGTTCCGGATGCTTTGCAGCAGCCGTGGACACGGGTAAGCGTTGAGCTGTAGTTAAATTTTTTTCAAATAAGTTCAAATCATTGGTCGGGTAAAATCATTCTTCAGTATTTCGATCCGTCTCTCGTCTGGGACTTTAAGTGGACGATTCCTTTATAACAACTTTTTAAATAAATTTCGTGGCGGTAACTGTTAATGTCCGCCAACTTACACAGTAGCGAGTACAAACTCTTCTATACGCGATAGGATAGCTGTGGGACATTTATAACTTAAGAATGAAAGATCTAATAACCTAAATTTTATGCAATTCAGTCTCAAGATCAAAATATATTAAATATAATATATACTTAATATATTACATATATTGAAAAGACACTTAAATACAAGTAAAGGGTCTAATAACTATGTTTTTATTTACTTATTGTACTATTCTAATGCTATATTTAGTAAATACATACATATTTTAATAATAAATGTGCATATGTGTCTATATCGGTAGGTAAAAATAAATACATTTGTCTTCAATACAAAACACATTGTACTCGATAATAAATAACTGAAATTCCAACTCCAGTTTTGTTTTGTGAAAACTTTCAACTTGATTAGGAAGCATTCTTTTTGCTTAATCAGAACTTCTCAACTTAATCACGCCGAGAAAATAAACTCACGGACTAACTTAAAACCGGTTTCAACTTAAATAAAACTATAGTCCTTTCTTAGTTCTATTTTATGTGATTGTTCCAAGGACAATTACTATTGTTTCTCTGTTTTAATCAAATAACTAGCAATACACTGGAATTACGGTTGATCGTTATTTTGAATGGAAGGAAATGTAGCACTAAATAACTTTTATTTATTTTATATAATCAAGATACATAATTTAATTGCACACCATTGAAACAATATTTAAAATACGTGTAAAACAGCTGCCATTATGATTGTTCCTTATTCTATGGACTAGGGTTCTAATATTCAAGGACCCTACTCTCTATTAAATGGAATTATTGCCTATAAACATTTGAGGCTTAAATTAATAAATACAAAAGCGGCTATCTTTTGACGGGTTCTTGAGAGTAAAGTTAGCAATATGTAGCTAATAATCAACGGGTTGTGGAAACATTTTTGACGTCGTCTGGAAATCTGAATACTAAGTGGGGGGTAGGAATATTAAAATTCCGTCCGGGTGACAAACCACCGTCTATATATATACATTACATGACATATCAATAGACAGACAGACAGACAATAATCTGTATAGTACTGATCTTGATTCATCTTACGTTATTATTTTAATATTAAATACGAATCATGTAGACCATTTTTTTTATTATTTCAGAATTCGAAACGACCTCATGTCCAGAGGCGATCGCTTCACGGAAAAGGAAGCGAACTACGCTTTAGAAGAAGCACCGATGATCCAAGACAAGAATGGATATAACTTCATAGATTATAAACAATTTTGTAGGAAGCTGTGTGGTCTGAAAAAGACCAATAAACAGGTTTTGCAAGTACAAGACTAATTCGCTTATATTCGCGTTAACAACACAACCATTTCATGTTATGTTAAATTTCATTACGTTTCTCTCATAAGCATTTATGACATTATAATATAAAAACGTCAAATGGCTTTTATTTAACATTTCCTGATGATGCCGTCCGCACGTGATGGCGAAACGTCGAGAACCTCTTCTCGCTCACGTCGGCCGAACAGCCCGAAGGGCAATGATATGCTGAACGATGACCGTGAAAGCCTGATACAATTTATTGCTCTTATTTTATTTGATCTCTCTGTCTTTATGTGATATCTACGTATGCCTATTTACAGGTTGCAGGTATATCCTCGTCAATTGATTTTATAATAGGTATTAATTTCAAGCAGACCTAGTCTGAATACTAAATAGTGTTGCAATCAAGGTATAATTGGAGATGTGTGTTATATCAATAGACAGAGTAAATTAATCAGTAGGATTTGTAAATCTTATTATAGTCAGTAATTATTAAAATCGACAAAAAGTTACAAAATTTAAACATTTGTAAACATTGGGCGAACACATATCTGTGTGTGGTCACAGATTACTGATGAATTTTATTTACATGCCTGTAGTTGATCAGCCCTAATGTCCTGCTTGATCGAAATTATTAATTGTAATCCCGGGTTTCGAACCCACGATCTCTCATGCTTAACGCAATTCTATTCAAGGCATTAAAGCATTGCGAAAGACTTATAAGAAGTAATCGTTATAATGACGAATGGAATTTCACAAGGCAATGATTGCATTAATTTTAATGAAATGGATTTTCAATTTTCCCCGAGGAGGCTTCCTTTAACAATCTCTTAAAAGTTGACTTAAATAATCAAAAGTTCAGCTTTTACGCCTCAAGAAATTTGTCGTCGGAAAACCTCTTTATCAATTAGCGATAATTGACTTACAAAACAAAGCAACGCTATTATTTTAAAACAATCACATGGAAATTTGTTTAGAGTTTTTATTATTAAAATTATGTCCTTTCTTACAGATAATCCTTACTAATATTATAAATGCGAAAGTAACTCTGTCTGTCTGTCTGCTTGTTACTCTTTCACGCCAAAACTACTTAACAGATTTGAATGAAATTTGGTACACTGGTGGTTTAGACCCTGAGAAAGAACAAAGAACTTTTTATTGCGAAAAGGAGGTTGTAAAGGGTTAAAAGGGGGAGTGAAATTTTGTATGGAAATTCGTGGTTTTTGAAGCTAGAACAATGAAAGTTTCTTCTATGGCTTTTTGGGAATAGGACTGGGAATAGAAGTGGGGTTGGATGTGGGAGTGGGAGTGGGAGTGCGAGTGCGAGTTAGAGTAGGGGTGTTGTGAGGTGAGAGTGTTGCGGCAAAGTAGCACTTACAACATAGATCGGCTGCGATAAATGCGTAATTACATAAATCAATAAACAGCCTTAATAATTAAAATTTCTGCCCCAAGTCACTATTCCACGCGAACAAAGTCGCGGGCACAGTTAGACATTTATAAATGTAACATAAACACAACAGACTTTAAGTCTAACATAAAAATTTATATCTGATTAAATAAAACAAAAACTTTAAACAACAAGTCTAGGCCAAAGGTTTTGTTTTCAACTTTTAAATAGTTAATTAGGTCTCATTAGCGAACTTAACATTTTAAATTAATCAGTCACCTATTACAATAATTATATTATCTTATCGAACGCCGGCTTCGACTAAATCTCTAGAGAAAAGTTTATGAACTCTTTATTAAGAGAGAAAATCCCTGTTAAAATTTTTCCCGACAAAGTTTCTTTGCAGACAAGGAATAAGATTCTCATACTTCTCGCGAGTTTTAATAAATAACTTGGATTATGAAATAATAATGAAGTAAAATTGATAAACAATAATTCATGTTGTGCTTGGTAATTTGATCCCTATTTAACGCATGTCTACAAAGTAATTTTTTTCTCTAACGCGGGAGCGTGGCAAGCCGAGTAAAGGAACTAGCTATCCAAGTAAAATGTAACTTACGTTAACAATAATTATTATACATATCCAATAAAACAAAGAAATAGACTTTATTACTTGTTCATAATATTATTTTGTTCCTATGAGTACAAACTTGGATAATTTTTGTATTGAACTTGGCTCTCCTTTTTCACATTTATGTTTTTGATGAACAGCTACATAAAACACCTTTTCGTAGTTTTTGCACTGATTGTGGTATTCTTCATTTCTTCGTTCATCTTACGTATTAATGCTACAGACCAAGAATTTGATTGTATTCATATTGTTTTTCAATAATATTAGAAAAACAAATTTCATTTTAATCACCAAGAATAAATCGGTCGAAGTCTACGCAAATCGTTAACTTCAAAAGGTCACTTCGGTAATTTGCAAACAGGAATCCAATTTTACCAAAAAGCCATATTAATTTGAAATCGGGAGTTTTCCATATCTACCCTCAATTAGTTAGCATCAGGAATGAAATGTTTTCCTCGTAATGTATTTTTATTATAAGAATCAAATTTTATAACAGCTTATATGTATGTTTAGTAAATGATGTAGTTCTTAATTAGAATATCTTTATATTTATGTATTTTCCTTATTGTTTAGCGTAACGTTGTATAATTTAAAATATAATCAGAACATGTGGGTCTTAGAGTAGCTAAGATATCCTACGAGATATCTTTAATTATATAAATCCCTTGGGCTAAAATTATTTCATAAGATCTCTACTATTATCATTACCTTTCAGTTACACGGTTGTCTGTGAACTAGAAATAGCAAAACTTAACTCGTTAGCTCATCGCGTTGCCTTGTAATTTGGATATAATTTAATTGAGCAATTAACCCGTAAGACCCGGTGCACACAAGCGACAACAATTAATAAAACATTTCAAAGTATAAAATTGTCTTATGTTACTATTATTTTCATGAGTATAAAAGGTATAATTGTAGAGCTTTAGCTACTTATTCGTTGCTCCCTGGTGTAATGGTAGAAATGTATAGCTCGTAGGGTCCTGGGTTCGATCCCTACCAGGTCCAGCATTATTCAAATCAATTTGTAATCATTCTAAAACATATTGGACCATATGGAAAACTAAACATTAAACGGGTGGTAAAAATATCGAAATTCCGTCTGCGTCACAAACTACCGTCCACAGATTACAGCTGTACAGTTTAAAATGTTTAATAAGCTTTGGCTTTCATATGTACGTACACAGCCTTTACGACTATAATTCTGAAGATGAGAAAGTTTAACTCAATGCAAAATTCTTACTAACTCTAATGTGGGTGTCATCTTACAAGTTACACACGTTAGAGCTTTAAACGTTTAGACTTTGTACTCATTATCTATTTCATTGTGTGAGGTATTCCAATCTAGTGTCCACAAAATTAAGACTACCGCAATGACACTGTAATGTACTGTTTATTAAATTGAAACTATTTAATATAATAAGTATTTAACGTAATATATATCTGGATTTAAGTATTCAATTTGCTACAACTATAAAATATGCACCTATTGTAAAATGAACAATAATAAAACTTTTATATCAGACAATTACAAGTTCAACGTGTTAATGACGGAACTAGTGTAAAATACCAATAGTACAATTATGTTTTACCCTACCGAGTCGTGAGATGGACACATTTGCGTGTCTGTTTCACTGATCCATTTTTCATGCATAGGTATGAGTATTCCCCCATAGGAATGAAGATGAACGGTTTCCCTGCTTTGCAATCCCCTCATGACCGCGGCTGATGCAAAACATCGGGCCGTAGTTAAAATAAGTTAACTACCCGCTCACTCGCCCGTGGCTAAAAAATCGGGCTATACCTATGCCCGGCCTCTCTACCATTACTAGGTTCAAACGCTCGGCGACAAAAACTAGGCCACCCTTTTGTGCCCCACTGTTTGTAACGGTTTTTGCGCGCCGCCGGCGCGCGTCCTGCTTTACGCTATTGGTCCTTGTGACTTAAGTTTGTTTTAAAAGATTGTCAAATGTTATATTCTTTATGTTTACTATTAAACGATCTATACAATGTTATCATTAGATCTTTAGATTAGGACTCTGGTCTAGAGTTATGCCGTGCTAAACTTGAGGTTTTACGGGTTTTAAAGCTGTCTTGTTTTTTTTATGATTTTATTATTGTACAAACTAAACAATATAAAAATTACAATTAACATACCTTATAGTAAATTCAATGGCCATTCCAATGTTCCAATGAGGTATCACACTTGCACAATGTAACCTTTTAATCACATAAACACAATCAAACAAAAATCACAACACTTACCACTGACAACACGTCACTGACTGGGGACCGTTATTTTATTATTACGTAATTTTTTTCTATGGTTTGGATGCTAGACTGTGACAGATATGGTGGGAAATTTAACGGAGAAATGAGATATACAAACTAACCTTGAGATCGATAAAGACGAGTATATTCGACTTATTTGAGCGCGGGGACTCGTCAACCACAGATGTCACCTACATTTTGCGTGGCGGCGCGCAGTCAACTAGTAGTTTACCCGGGCGAGCGAGCGGGTAGACATAAACCTCTTTTATATATATTTAATTTAGCACTTTCGACGGATATGTATCCCCAAAAGTGGAAGATCTCTAGAGTAACACCTGTTCCTAAATGTTCACCTAAGAATAGAGTAGAGAATCATAGACCAATAGCTATTTTATCCGTATTTGCAAAAACTATTGAATCTATTTTGAATGCCCATTTACTGCGTCAGATTAATCCTTATTTAACTGATAATCAGCATGGTTTTAGACGGCGAAGATCAACCACCACGAATTTAGTAACTTTTGTTGATTTTACCTGTAATGCATTAGATGATAAAAAGCAATTAGACGTTGCTTATTTTGATTTTAAAAAAGCTTTTGATAGGGTCCACATTGATATTCTATTACGTAAATTTTATAAGATTGGCTTCACACCAAAGCTATTAAATTTTTTTTCTAGTTATTTTTCTGAGAGATACCAATATGTACAACTTAATGGACAGCGTTC